CAACCCAGGGGCTAACAAATTTCACTCTCGAAAATACCTAAGGTATTGTTGGGCGCCAGGTTCCAAACGGGAACCACGTATCAGTCTCTACAATATGTCTTCGCGTGCCTACGTGGGCTAACTCAGCTACGCGGAGGCGGCGGGATTCGGAACAATAGGTCGGATGGGTCAGAGGATCACGCGACACACAAAATCATTCGGACACTTCGATCTCAACTAAATGGTTCGGTTTATTGAATAATTTCGGCGGCGCGAAGCGCGACGATCTCTTACAATACCGAAAGAATTATTTACACAAGAAATAGTAATTAATATAGATCGAAAAGATAAAACCAAAATACAATCAAGCAATAGTAACGGGTACTTCGCGTACCGTACGAATTCAAAGCCAAATATCGTAACACGGCTAATCCGCGTTTACCAAAATACGACAACCGACCGTCAAGGACCTGTACGCGTTCTTCGCGTTACAAAATCAAAAGTTACATACGCCTGACGGGCGGACGACAAGAAAACAATTCGAAGACGTTACAAAATTCTAATTCAATCATAAGATCCAAACAAAGATTCTAAACCGTGAACCCTGCCGGTCGACGGACCTTCGTGCCGTGGTCTTATTCGAGGTGAGGGATTGTCCCTCCGCGTGTTCGTTACACGCGCAGTCAAAACTTACGAAAACAACAAAATTCGGCACCACGATTCGCACGAAGTTACGTCGCTCACAAAAGTCGGTTAGACTCGCTTACCGTGGTGTTCCCTGGTCGCGTAATCCAAGAAAACCCCAAAACATCAGCCCAATGGCACTCAGTGCACTCGCGTAACTCACAAAGAAAATCAAACGTCTATCGCCGTCGCGTGTCCAAGCAAGATTCTCTCGATCTTCACGTACCGTGGTGTTCCCTGGTCGCGTAATTCCAGAAAACTCGATCGACAGCCCAATGGCACTTTGTGCACTCGCGTACTCAACAATTCGACTCAACAAAACGTCTAACGTCTAACTTCTTCGCGTGTCCAAGCAAGAATCTCTTCTTCACGCGCTTTGTCTTCGCGTGAAGGATAGCACCCCCTCCCTTTAGGCTAATGGGCGGCGATTCGCCCTGCGGACGAATCCTTCAACCCAGCGCCTTCGCCACGCGCCAGTTTCGAATCTGTCATTGCGATAATTAATAAGTTTCATCTTTTGTGGACAATTTATACAGCTCGGTCCTACGAAGAGTAACATTCGTTCTCGCGCGAGGGTGCACCAGGCGTCCCTGGATTCCCAACTCGCGGAAATATAATTATGCGCAAACTGACGATGGGCGCTATGCCATAGGGGTCGGTAGTGGTGCTCAGTCGGGTGGCGCTGTGTACGCCGCTTCCAGTCGTCGTGGTTGAGTACCAGCGGAGTAGAGCGCGTTGCTGCCGCGTGACGTCAAGCTGTCCCGCGTTGCGCGCGCCTCCGGGGCCAGTAGAGCTGCTGTCCGCAGATAGCTCGAGTGTAGACCCTCGCGTGTCGCAGCTCCTTTCCTCCTGGGACTCCAGCTGGCTCACCCTCTCTCTTTCTCCGCGTCTTCACGGGCACGGCGAGCGAGCACCTATTCGAACTCCGGCAGAGTACACGCAAAACAAAAGAAAATAATAAAATAATCTATCGAAATTTCAATTAGGCCCTTGCGATCGGTGGATCCTGCCTGGACTTTGCAATGGCCTTTCGGCCCGTATCGCGTTTCGGCGTGATTTTCCGCCGAGGACAAGACGGGTGAAATCCACCACGTCACAATATATTAACACCGGTCACTTATTTGCAGTCATTTTACAATTGTACGTATAATGACATACAGATCAGAACTCGACTAATAATGGAGAGGACTTTTGGTGTATGGAAACGACGTTTTCCGTGTTTATCCTGAGATCTAACGACAAAACTTATTTGTTCTACGATAACAGTAGTAGCCTGTGAAGTATTACATAATTTGGCTTTAATTTTTAATGATATTTTACCTGAAGAGGATGAGCTTGAAGATAATGATGAAGAAATACCTCTACCGAATGTGCGTGATTTTGATGGTGTTGATGGATTTGCTGCTCGTGAAGCACTAATTGTTCGCATGTTCAATTGAACTGTTATTTATCATTATGTATGAAATGGTATATATACTATGTGTTCATAAAAATATATTTCAGGTACAGGATTAAATGAGACAGATTGATCAGTTCAATTGTTTTATTTCAACAAAACTTAATTCCAAGTTCAAATCGTTTCTGTATGTTATACTTTTTTTTTTTCCCTCCTTTAATTAAAATTCAGCTAATTCTGCTGCAGTAGCAGCAGCACGGAGCTCCAGTGAATACTTTTCATTCAAAAACTTTAGCTCTAGCTTTTGCTTAGCCTCTTTGTGCTCAATATTCAAATTCGCCAGTCCTCCTCGTGTTTCATCAATCTTTTTATACGCTCAATTTTAAGGGTTGTCTCATCATAACTACTATTTACATTTTTTCCTTTTGAGCCTTTCTTGGCCACACATATTGTCTCTGAAAATGAAAGCACAAGAGTAAGTAATCAATATTATTATATTGCAGCCGAGACTATTGCATTAGACATGATCATATGTTATTAGTCTTCAAAAACATCTTCATGTCTCTTTGGAAAATGCAATGGATACACACTCGTCTTTTATGTTTTAAAAAATCCAATGAATAATACATAATCAAAGAAAATGTGATACCTTTAAGAACTTCTTCAGACATATTTGAAGAGATAGCTACTGGTGCAGTCATCATTAAGTTGGGAGAAATTTCAGTAATGTCAGGGTCCACTTCTGTTGATAATTCTCCTTCAGGACCACCTCCTGTTGCAAATCTTCCTTGTTTCTCTTTAGTGAGAGCATTTTGCTCGGTAGCTTTCATGTTGCTCCACATCTTCTTTACTTGAGCAACATTCCTCTAACAAAATTAATTTATTAATACAGTTTTAAGTCGAAATAATGATATTATTGGTAATAATAATAATCGTGGTTTCTACCTTCACTGAAATCACGGAAGAGTTGTTATACATATCAGCAATTTGATTCCATGCCTCATCTTTGTTTTTCAATGTTGATGTGTCACTTTTCTTTTGTTCAGTTACATGAGAATACTTTTTCAAAATTTGTAAAAAATATTTTTTTCAACTTCTGTATAATGTTTCTTGCACTATGACATGTTTTTATATTTACAAAAACTATTTCTAAATACCCCAGCATCATAAGGTTTTGATATTTCGTAGTACAGTCGAAAATATTCAGTCGCATCTGAAAATTGTTTGAAAATGTGACTTTCCACATTTACCCACCCGATTTCAAATTCGCAAAGTCGCATCTTCAAAGTTGTTTCTAATTGGATGATACACCGGAAAGCCACCGAACATTTCCAAACGCCAAATAACCTTGACTTACGCCAGTATTCATAGTTGTCCCTCAAAGGAATAAGGGGCACTCGTTGGCTCACTTATTTCGCGGACGCGTTTCATAGTCGAAACTGAGGGTTCATAATGCTCTCAATTGGCTTCTTCCCTCGAGAGTGGTCGTGAGGTCCCTCAAGGGTCATTTTTTAACTGCAGCGCTGTCAGCGGTCGAAGAATTGCCGTTAGGCGTCCCTAATAGAGTACGGAATACCGATTTTATCGAGAAGCTATTCGAGGTTATACAGAGAAGCTTTCGCACAACTGTTTGTGACATTGTGTAAAGTTGTGAAGAAATGGAAGAATTGGACGTTTTCTACGAAAGTGATACTAGCAACGAGGGTAAGGATGAGCAACCCAATTATCTGAGAAAACGCTATATCCGTGATTATGCAAATCCTTTGGAGTACTATGAAGACCATGCATTTTCAAGAAGATACCGATTTGCTAAAGCCATTGTAATTAATGTATTGGTACCTTTAACGCGTACAAAGCTGGAAAAGCATTGTAATCGAGGACTACCTATACAATTGCTAACAGCCTTAAGATTTTATGCATCAAACAGTTTTCAGGTATATTGCAACGTTTGTCGATAGTGGAATTTCGTACGCTCCTAATGAGTGTACGAAATGGGATGTAGGTAAGTGCTCGGAGCTGGCGTCTTTAAGAATGTAGTCGACACAGGTGGGTAAAGTAAAATAAAATAACAAAATTTTATTAAATACTCGATGATCGGTACAGAAGTTTATAATTGGTGTCAATTACTCAGTCGAAATCAATGGTCTGTATTGTAGGAAACAGGATTGTCTAGGAATCGGCCTATGTTTGTTTTCTATCCCTATCTCTCTCTGACCTGTATGTGAGGTACAGAGGATCTGCCTGTGTTGGTTCTATAGCCCTAGTGGCGCTTTGCCGACCTATTGGCTATAGCACTGTGTGCGACGCAACTACTAACGGCGCAGATGATAGATTATACAAAATGGCGATAAGTAAAGTTTCTGCGGAAGATCACGGTGGTCTCCGCAGAACTCTGTCAATTTTTCCACGTGAGTTCTACTTGGAATAGCGAGTGCTAACATTCCGTAGCCTCTCGACACGATTATTAACGATGAGTTTTCTGACCAACTTACGACTATCCTCTCTACAGATTCGGATTCCCAATTAACTTTCGATTATCCTATCTAACAATTCGGACTTTTGGTTAACTTCTTCGGATTCTTGATTAACTTCCCTTGATCGATTCAAAATGTTGTATTTAACGCTTTGTAATCCGATATTGATTAGCGAGAAGCGCTAACCCCCTATCGGATTATCTTGCTACTATCTTTCCGTGGTTTCACTTTCGGGAGACGTTCTTCATCTATCGGCTAGTGTTGACACTAGCCGCGCGTCCTGGTTGTCTATTTGTAACGAGTGCGCTCTCAGTACAGGAGTACCAAGAGGTTGATCGTTTTGTCACGTCACAGAATATGCATTCAATTACTATGATATTATAGTTTGTACCGTGGTAGCGTACACTTGAATAATAGTAGTATTAAAGTTAATTGGTTTTTAGATGGTTCATGGAGACCTGCGTTGGTTGAGTCAAGCCTCAGATAGCCGCATCGTGAAAAACGTCTCCATTGCATTTGCTGAACAGTTAAAGCAATTTATTTGTTTCCCACGAAGTGACACGGGAATCCGTCGAAATACAGTAAAATTTTTTACGATTGCTCATTTTCCTTCTGTTGTTGGATGTTTGGATTGTACACACATTCCAATTTCAAATCCAGGCGGAGAAAATGCCGTGTGTGAGTGTGTGTAATGGCCTCCCAAAATTCAAACGTGTATAACTCGAGACCGTTTATAGCTACAGCCTCCAAATTTTGCAGGTATGTGCAGCTCTATAATCCCCTCGTTGACTATAATTTTGGTCATGATTCAAGCTGTGGCTCAAAATTTATTTCATTTTCAAATTTCCAAAAAAAAGGGCGTTATCACTCTAGCGATTCCAAATTTTGTGATAATCGTCTAAATAGTTCTTGACAAAGAGATATGTATTCCAGGTTGATTGGTATTGCAATTGGGCCGAATCGAGCAAGAAGTTTTGATATTATGATATTTTGAATTTTTCGAAAAATTAAATTTATCAATATAACTCCCGTGAACTTTGACCAATTGATATTAGTCAAGGATATCTGTTTTGATCCCGGATCTACCAACGCATGGACCCCTCGTCCGCCCACTTTAACGTTCAGGTACCATCGCGGTCCTGATCCTAATGAATGGATGGGACCGCATGAGATAATAGAATCGGTCGGCGCAACGACTGAGGTCACCCGCGACACGTCAGGGACGGAAGGAACCTCCACTTCGCGTCACTTAGTGAGTTTTCCGAGCACTTATTACACTTCTGGCTCGTCACCCCCTTTTCCCCGCACCTTTAACAAAACAGCGCACGTTCTTTTTCGCATTTATTAAATCTATGCCCTTTTTCTCCGCAATTCCAACAATTTGTCTTCTTACTGAACGAATCCTTACTTTTTGATAACTGCTCCAACCTAACCTCTGCGCGCGCTGGGGATTATAAAAGAAAGGTAAGGGATCCATCCAGCCCACACTCAATTCTTCCCGTCTGTCTGAAGCGACAGGGTAAGTCCGTTTTCCCGGTTACGGTAGGGTATGTTTAGGGTATGTTTGGGGTATGTTTAGGGTATGTTTAGGGTATGTGTAGGGTACGTTTGGGCTATGTTTAGGGTACAGATAGGGTGAGGGTAGGCTAAGTATAAGGTGCACGTCGACATAGGCAACATAACCCCCTCCCCTCCCATAGACAATAATACTAATATAACATTTCTTATTCCTTAGAGAAAGTCTAAAGAAAAAATAAGAGCCTTGCAAGAAAGAAAACATGAGCGAACACGAAGCGACGATGATGGTAAGTTTCAATAATTAATAACTAAATAAATGTAATAATGTTTAATTTTAATGTTAATAATAAAATTAATAATTCCATGTTCCACCATACACAGGCAACTGAAGAGCAACACAACGCTCCTACACCACTACGAGGAGATATATCAAAAACTCCCAGGTACAAACCGGAGTTGGTAGCACCGGCTGCAATGGTACAATACGTAAGGGTTATACCGCACGCGAGATCCGTACGATACAGAGTAGACGCGGATAAACTGTGAAATTTATGTATATTCTACGTTCCACAGTCAACGGAAAAGGCAACGGAGGAGGGGTCGACGGCGGCGGTTGAGTCCGAGGCTTCCGACGTCTCTATGGGCTCCGTAGAAAGAATGGACCTGCAGCAGGAGGACCTCCAGACGCAGTACATCGCCGGCACACCTGCTAGTGAGTTTCATTTGTTACGTTCACACACGTAGCTCTCTCTTGTTCGTTTCTCTACTTTCAGCTTCGATTAATTCGGTCGAGCTACACCCAGTTCTCGTGTACACCGTGTCATTTTCTTTCAGGTTTCACTAATTCGGACGAGCTGCCCAGCTCATATCACTTTCAGGCTTTTTTAACAGTCTTCTCCTCTATTTTCGCAGATATGACCGAGTGCGTACAAAGTTCCATTGGGACCCAAACGGACCCCGTCCATATCCCGTCGATGGGGTATAAGAGAGGTACCTCGGCGCCCACCGGCAGGATAACGGCATCAATCATCCTCGTCGTCATCCTCCTCCT